TGGTGGGGAAGAACGTGAAGCTGTACGACATGGTGCTGCAGTTCCTGCGCACGCTCTTCCTGCGCACGCGGAACGTGCACTACTGCACGCTGCGCGCCGAGCTGCTCATGTCCCTGCACGACCTGGACGTGGGCGACATCTGCTCCGTGGACCCGTGCCACAAGGTGCCGCCCCGTCCTCTGCTCCGGCGTCCCCTGCAGGCTGCCAGTCCTGGCCCCTGGCTCCGACCGCCCACCTGCCGCCGCGCTGAATCGGCTGGCGGGGGGGGGGGGGTGTCCCTGGCCATGTCCCCCACCTGCCATTCCATCACTCCCTCTGCTGCCTCCGGGCTTCCCGGGCTGGCCCTCCCCTCTGGCCTCAGGCTGCTCTGGACCTGGGCTCTACCGCGCCCTGGTCCCCTCGGGTGCTGTGAACCGAGATGGTGTCACTCGGAGGCCCGAGAGGGCCCCTTTAGAACAAACGCCGACCTTGTCTCCCATGCATGGCCGGTGGGTGGGGACCCAGGCCTGCTTGCCACGTGCGTCCTACACCTCGGACAGGTCTTGGCGAGGTGACGGTCTTGGCGAGGTGACGGGGCCCTTGACCCTCCAAGGCCTGGGCAGCGAGAGCTGAGGGCCAATAGGGCCCACTCACGCCCTGACTCGCTCCCACAGTTCACCTGGTGCCTGGACGCCTGCATCCGGGAGCGCTTTGTGGACAGCAAGCGGGCGCGCGAGCTGCAGGGGTTCCTCGACGGCGTGAAGAAGGGGCAGGAGCAAGTCCTGGGGTGAGCGTTGGCCGTGGTGGAGCCCAGATCCCGGTCCTGCCCACTGTGGTGGCGATTCCGGTGTCTGAGGGGGCTGGGCACCCCGTCCCACGGTGGAGACACCACCGCGGCCGTGTGCTGGGGTGGGGAGGGCCACCCTTCGCCGTGCCCACTGCCTGGGATGTGTCTGGGACGCGGCTGAAGGCGGAGTCAGGGTCAGGCCCCAGAACCAAACGTGGCTTACTTTCCGTGAGAACTTTAACTCCTCGGGGTTGTGAGTACGTTGGGTGCAAGTGTCACCCTGTGAGCCCCCGGGGAGGGCGTGTGTGTGGGGGGGTGCAGGGGGAGCTCGCTTTGGGTCTGCAGATCAGGACGGCTGCCCGGCGTGGCCACCTCTGGGCCGCAGCTTCTGCGTGAACGCCGCTGCTTTGCAGGGACCTGTCCATGATCCTGTGTGACCCCTTCGCCATCAACACGCTGTCCCTGAGCACCGTCCGGCACCTGCAGGAGCTGGTCAGCCTGGAGACGCTGCCCAGGGTGAGTGCGCCTGGCTGGCCACGTGCGGCCTTCGGGGCGAGGGCAGGAGTGGACGGGGCGGCCAGGACCCCACTGAGCGAGGGGGTGCCGGGGAGCTGGCACTGAGGCCTTCTCCGCAGGACAGCCCTGATCTGCTGCTGCTGCTCCGGCTGCTGGCGCTGGGCCAGGGCGCCTGGGACATGATTGACAGCCAGGTCTTCAAGGAGCCTAGGATGGTAATGGGGCCTGCCCATGGCTGCAAGGGGTGGAGCTGGGCAACGGGTGGGCGCAGAACAGGCTGCAGGGGGCGGGGTGAGGGCGGTGGGCGGGGCTGTGCCAGCTGAGCCGCCCCCCGCCCCCCAGGAGGTGGAGCTCATCACCAAGTTCCTGCCGACGCTCATGTCCTTCGTGGTGGACGACCACGCCTTCAACGTGGACCAGAAGCTGCCGGCGGAGGAGAGGGCCCCGGCCAGCTACCCGACCACCCTGCCGGAGAGCTTCACCAAGTATGCGGGCCCGGGGGGCCGGGGGCGGGCGCCTGCCGGGAGGCGAGTGAAGGGCGCTCCTCAGGGCGGTGCTTGCCCGCAGGTTCCTGCAGGAGCAGCGCATGGCCTGCGAGGTGGGGCTGTACTACGTGCTGCACATCACCAAGCAGAGGAACAAGAACGCGCTCCTGCGCCTGCTGCCCGGGCTCGGTGAGTGAGGGGGGCCGCCCTGTGACTCCCCTCCCCTCCCCCTCTTCCCCCTTCATTCCCTGCTGTGACCGCCCCCTCCCCGCCTCCTGAAAGGGGGGTGTAAAGGGAGGAGCTCAGCTCTGCTCTCAGACCCTCTGCTGTCAGAGGGAGGCCAGGTGGTGGGAAGTGAAGCCACATGGCCACCCCCACCTCCGTGGGAGTCTGCTGCGGCCGCCCCTCTGGTGGTCAGCGTGGAGCCCCGCAGTCCACCGCCCCAGCTGTGGACCGCGTAGGGTTGTGCCAGGAAGGAAAGGCATGAAAAACCACGAGGCCGGGACGCCCCCGGCCCAGGTCCTGGCCGCACTCACGTCTCGATACATTTTCGTTCAGGTGGTTTCCTTTTTCTTTTCTTTTTTTTTGAATGTATGTTTATGGATTTCAGAGAGGAAGGGAGAGGGGCAGAGAGTTAGAAACATCAGTGATGAGGGAGAATCATGGATCAGCTGCCTCCTGCACGCCCCCTCCTGGGGATCCGGCCCACAACCTGGGCCTGTGCCCTCACCAGGAGGCCAGCCATGACCTGGTTCAGGGGTCAACGCCCGACCACAGAGCCACCGGCTGGCAGACCCTGGGGCTTTGATGTCCGTGGCTTCCTCCTGCTGCTCCCCACCCCTCCCGGCTCTCCCCACAGCCGCCTCATTGCTGAGGCCCAGGCCCCACATCTGGCTCCCAGGACCAGGGGCACCCGCCCTCAAGTGCTGTACTGCTGTCCCCCAGGGATTGCTGCTGGGGGGTGGGTGGGAGAGGCGGGCTGACCTTGCTGTGCCCGCAGTGGAGACCTTCAGCGACCTGGCCTTCGGCGACATCTTTCTGCACCTGCTCATGGGGAACCTGGCCCTGCTGGCTGAGGAGTTTGCCCTGGAGGACTTCTGCAGCAGCCTGTTCGATGGCTTCCTGCTCACCGCCTCCCCGAGGTGCGGCCGGGGGCCTGGGGGCCGGCGTGGATGGGCAGAGCGAGCGCTGGAGGACGGGGGCTGGGGGCAGGGGCTGGCGGCCTGCGGCCCACACATTGGCCTCTCCCTCTCTCCCCCTCCCCCTCCCCTCTCCCTCCCTCTCCCTCTCCCTCCCCCTTCCCCTCCCTCTCCCCCGCAGGAAGGAGAACGTGCAGCGGCATGTGCTGCGGCTCCTCCTGCACCTGCACCACCGCGTGGCGCCCGCCAGGCTGCAGGCCCTGCAGAAGGCGCTGGAGCCCAGCGGCCAGGTGAGTGCTGCCCGCCCGGCCTGGGGGTGAGGGGCTCCCTGACTGCCCGCCTGCCCACACCCGTCTCCGCAGAGCGGAGAGGCCGTGAGGGAGCTCCACTCACAGCTCAGCGAGAAGCTGGAGCAGCTGGACCAGCGCAAGCCCAGCCCGACCCCGGCCGCCGAGCCCCCCGCCCTGGAGCTGCCCCTCCCTGCGGTGCCCGCCCCGGCCGGCCTCTGACACTCCCCCACCCGCTGGGGGTGGACAGGCCCCGGGAGGACATGCCCCATCGTCGGCCAGGAGCCCCTGGCTGGGACTCTGAGGACCCGTGTCTCCTGGAGGCAGAGGGTGCTCGTGGGTGGGTGGTGGCTGAGCTGAGACCTAGGGTGGCCCCCTGGGCAGGTGCCTCCTCCATGCTCCGCCCCACCCGGACCTGCAGTCGTGTGCGTGGGCCCGGGACCGTTCCGGCCATGGCCCTGCCTCCGCTGGGCACTGTGGGGAGCCCTGCTCGCCAGGGGAGTGGCCGGCGGGCGTGGGCACAGGTTGGCAGCGTTGCTGGTCAGCCTGGCCCCAAGGACTTATGTGGTGGACAGTGGACAGTGCACTGGGACCCCAGGCAGAGGCAAGCCCAGGCCCCACCTGCTGCCTCAGCTGCACTCTGTGCAGGTGAGGGTCAGCTCATCTGCAGCGACTCCCGTGTCAATAAAAGCGTTTTGGTAAAAGCAGCGGTGTGTTTCTGTGCCGAGGGGTGGGGGATGCTGCCGTACGGGGTCAGGCCTTCCCAGGCGTGTCCGCCTCTGGGCCACGGTCACGGGGAAGGTCTTGTCCAGGCTGCTAGAGGCCACCAGAAGGGCCTCCCCCGCCTTCCCAGTGGCACACTGAGGTCCTGCTCCACAGAAGTCCATGGCCTGACAGGTGCAGCTCTGCGGGTGGGGGCACCTGGGAGGGCAGCAAAGGCTGCTGGGGCGGGTCAGGAGGAGCTTGCTGTCTGTTGTCAAGATGAAAGGAACGTGTTTAGCCTGGTCAGAGGCTCAGGGCCTGAGCAATCTATGAGCCAGGAGGTCACAGTTCGATTCCCGGTCAGGGCGCAGGCCTGGGTTTTGGGCTCGATCCTCAGTAGGGGGCGTGCAGAAGTGACTCATCACTGATGTTTCTCCCTCTCCCTCTGCGATGAAGAAAATATTAAACACATGTTTGTACGCTGATGGAAGGACCCAGAGGGAGAAGCGGCCAGCTGTGTCAGAGTGGTCAGAGGGGTGGAACAGAGCGCAGGCCGGCCTGTGGGAGCGGGAAGCTGGGGGTGGGGGGCAGGCTCTCAGGATCCCTCCGGCTGCTTCCATCTGGAGGCTGCTTCCATCTGGAAATCAGAGCCAGGATCTGGCCTGGGAGGGGTCCCAGGAGAGGGAAGGAGGGGGCCAGCTATGGGAGGAGTCCGAGCAGGTTGGATCCCTGGGGGCCCTGAGGCTCAAGGTCAGTGAGGCTGGGCTCCTCCAGCCCAGGTGAAGGAATGGGAGGCCCCATCCATGGGTGGGTGGATGGCACCTGGGACCCCGAGGTGGGTGGTGGAACTGGGGGACTGGGGTGCTAGTGCAGGGAGCAGCCAGCTGAGCAGGTCAGCACCTTAGGAGGCGGAGAGGACAGTGACCTGAGCAGAGAGAGAGGGAGGGAGGGAGAGGAGGAAATGAGCCCTACTCTGGGGACCCAGATCAGGGTCAGGGAAGGGGAAGGAAGGGTGGGGGGAGAACAGGGAGGGATGTGTGGATGCCCCTCCCCCCATGGGGCCAGGTGACGGTCAGATGCCAGAGGAGACGCCCCTGGGATCCCGGGGGAGGCGATGCAGGGCCCTCAGGGCTGAGGGGAGTTGTGACCCGCTGGTCAGGGGACCAGCAGGAGTCAGCCAGGCCTCCTCGCCGGGCGCCTCCGTCCAGCCCAAGTCCCGCCCTGGACACACCCCTGACTCACTTCCTCTGCGTAGAAGCGGAAACTTTCCCCGGCTTCCTCCGCTGGTCACTCCCTGGGGACCGCAGGTGCCGCTGCCCTCCGGCCTGAGCCGACCCCAGACCCCTGACCCGCCGGCCTTCCGCTTCCTGAGCCGCAGCCTGCGCCCCAAGGGGCTGCCCGGGGGCTGGGGTCCAGCAGGAGCTGGCCTGACGCAGCTGCAGGTATGGGGTGGTTTGGGGGCAGGGGTGCACCCCGCGTCTCTCCAGCTCTGTCCTCAGGGGCTCTTCCCTGTCCTCCTGCTGCCCTGTCCCTCTCCCGCCGGCCCTGGGGCTCCCGCTGCCCCTCCACCGGTGTCCTGCGGAGGGTGCTGGGAGGATCTTGGGGGGTGGGGGGCTGGGAGGCCGAGCTCGGCCTGGGACTGGGGCTGGGGCCCATTCTCAAAAAGCAGAAGTTCCGGCCGGAACCCCCTCCCCCCCGGGGTGCGGGGCTCCCAGCTCCAGGGGCTGCCGGCCGGTGCCCCCGCGGCTCGGCTCGGCGCCTGGCAGGCGGAGCGGCGGGCGGGGCGGAGCCGGGCCGTGACCCATCCTCACCCCTAGTCCGGCGCCGGGCGGCCGGCTCCTCCTCCAGGAAGCCCGGGCCGCGGGATAAGCGGCCGCAGCGCGTCCCCTCCCCCGCCCGCACTTCCTCCCGGCTGTTCGCCCGCGGCGCGGGGATTTGCATGGGGCCCCTCGGGAGCCGCTTCCGGGTCCAAAGGGGCGACCTCCGGCCGCGGCCCGGCTGCGGGGCCGCCCTGGGGGCCGCGCTCCCGGGGCGGGAGTCTGAGACCCTCCTGTGCTCCCTTTGCAGGGAGGGCGACCTGCATGCGGAGCGCCGCCCGCGCGCCATGGACCGCGGCCAGCCCAGCGCGGAGCCCGGGGCCGCGGAGCCTGTGGCCGCGGAGCCCGGGGCCTCGGAGCCCGGGGCCGCCACTCCCCGCGCCCCCGGCCGGAGCGTGATGGCGCCGCTGCGCGCCGTGGTCCGCCTGCGCCGCCGCGTGTGCCTCCAGCGCAAGCGGCGCCCCCTGACGCCGGGCGCGGGGCCGGACGCGGGGGCCCCGGCGCCTCGCGCGGGCGCGGAGCAGCCGCAGTTCTTCACCTTCGACGGCCCCGCCGAGCTGGCCTCCAGGGCGCCGCCGTCGCGCAAGAAGCGCCGGCGCAGCCGCGTGGTGCTCTACCCGGACTCCGCGCGCCGCGCCCGGCCGCGCGCCGAGCACCGCAGCCGCGCGCAGAGCTGCCTGCTGCTGCTCGTGGCCATCGTGGGCTTCCAGGTGCTCAACGCCATCGAGAACCTGGACGACAACGCGCTGCGCTACGACCTGGACGGGCTGGAGAAGGCGCTGCGGCGCGGCGTGTTCGGCCAGCCGGCCGCCGTGGGGCGCGTCGTGGCGCTGCTGCGGGACTACCTGTCCACGCACGTGCACAGCCGGCCGCTGCTGCTGGCGCTGCACGGGCCGAGCGGCGTGGGCAAGAGCCACGTGGGCCGCCTGTTGGCGCGCCACTTCCGCGCGGCGCTGGAGGACGGCGCGCTGGTGCTGCAGTACCACGCGCGGCACCACTGCCCCGCGGCGCGCGCCCCGCAGGCCTGCCGCGAGGAGCTGGCGCACCGCGTGGCCGCCGTGGTGGCGCGGGCCGAGGCGGAGGAGAAGACGCCGCTGCTGGTGCTGGACGAGGTGGAGCAGATGCCGCCGGCGCTGCTGGACGAGCTGCACGGCCTCCTGCAGCCGCAGCGCCCGCCGCGCTTCCGCAACGCCGTCTACGTGCTGCTGAGCAGCGCGGGCGGCGCCGAGGTGACGCGCTTCGTGCTGCAGAACGCGTCCCGCACGCCCGCCGCCCGCGCCCGCGCGCCCGCGGAGCAGCGGCGGGAGGAGGAGGAGCTGCGCGCCGCGCTGCAGGCGCTGCTGGCGCGCGCGCACCCGCTGTGGCAGGCGGCGGCCGTGGTGCCGCTGCTGCTGCTGGACAAGCGCGACGTGGTCAGCTGCTTCCGGGACGAGATGGCGGGCGAGGGCTTCTTCCCCGAGCAGGCCCGCGCCGAGCGCCTGGCCGAGCAGCTCAGCTACTACCGCGTGGCGGGCCGCGAGTTCGCCGTCACCGGCTGCAAGCAGGTGGTGGCCCGCGTGAACCTGCTGTAGCCGGGCCCCGGCGCCCGACAGACTCCGGGGGGACCCCGGGGCGCCCGGGGAAGGCGGGGAGCGGACCCCTGGTTTTGCCCCGCGCCCGAGGCCCCAATAAACCAACTTCCCAGCCCTCCCCGCTGCCCCTCCGGGTTCTGGACTCGCCACATTCCGCCGCCCGCCGCGTGCCCACGTGCAGGCTCCGGGGATGGGCGATGCGTTCCCGGAACCCGGGGACGGTCTCGGGGTGAGCGGCTCTCCCGGTCACACAGCCGGTTGGTTGCCTGGCAAGGTGACCAGATCGTCCGGCTTTTTGCGGGACAGTCCCGATTTCTAACAATTTTAACGCGTCCCGCGGCGTTTTAAAAAAAAGTCAGATTTTTTGAAAGATTGGAAAGATTCTGGTCACCTTGCTGTAGAGCTGAGTGTGACCCCAGCCCCGGGAGCTGCGGCAGCCCCTCTCCGCACAATCACACACGTGCGCGCGCACACGCTCACACAAACACACACACTCACGCTCACACACACACGCTCACACACACACACGCTCACACACCTGCCTGCTCTGGGCCCTGGCCTGGGCCTCTGGCCTCGGTGTCCGGGGGAAGCTGCGTGTCCAGCGGCGCCTCCGCCCGGGGGCGGCCCGGGGGTGGTGTCCGCGGGTGAGCGGTCCCCGGGGCCTCCCAGGGGCAGGGGGCGGCCTGAGCGGGACCTGACCTCCGGCCTCCCTGCCGCAACCTCCCCAGCCTTGACTGGGGAGGCCCCGGTCCTCCAGCCCCAGGCCCGGGAGCCCCCCCAGCGGGCAGGACCCCCCCAGCCACCCGGCTGCACCCCCGCCCCCCAGGCCCGGGGAGCCCCCCCAGCGGGCAGGACCCCCCAGCCACCCGGCTGCACCCCCGCCCCCCAGGCCCGGAGAGCCCCCCAGCGGGCAGGACCCCCCCAGCCACCCGACTGCACCCCCGCCCGCCCCTCTGCTTTGCGGGCGGCGCTTTCCGCAGCCCCGGGGGCTCACTGCTGCCGCCTGGTGGCCGCTTGGGCCGCAGTCCCTCCCGCCGCCCGGTGGTGAGCTCCGCCCCCGGGAGGGGACCCGGCCCCGGGGAGACGGGCACAGAGGACACGCGGACACAGCCAGGCCGGGGGGAGAGGGGGAGCCGTGGAGTTGGGGGCGCCGCCGGGGGAAGCAGGGGTGCTCGGTGCGCCCTTCCACCTCTGACCTCAGCCCGACCCCCACCCAGGGGTCCCTCCAGCCGCTCCGCAGCCCCTCCCGTCAGCGGGCCCGGCCGGCCTGGTGGTTTGGCAGGTGTGGCCGCGGGGCGACAGGGGCGGGGAGGGGTCCCCGCAGAGGAAAGCCGCAGCGGCCCCCACCGGGCTCCGGGCAGGGCTGGGAGGCCTGGGATTGCCAGCCTCGGCCCGTCCACCCCAAACCCCCTGGCCGGGCCAGGCGGGGGAGAGTCCAGTCCGAGGCCGAACCGCCGCCCGGAGCAGCTTTATTTTTTGCTTTTTGCGGGTCGTGGTCCCCCCCAAAGCGGTGTTTCCTTTTCCCTTCGTGGGGGGCAGTTACACGGAGCTCCTGCCGCTCCGCCCGCCCCAGGTCACGCCCCCTCCCGCCCGGGGTCCCACCTGGGGCTCCCTGTCCACAGACGACACCCCGACTCCGCGTCTCTGGGGGCCTTTGGCTCCGGGCTTTTCCCTGGGACTGGGCTTGTCACCCCTTTGGGCTTGTCACCCCCTTTGGGGACGCTTTCGGGGTCACTGCCCCCATCTTGCCTGCGGATGGGCTGGGGACCATCTCCTGAGGCCTCTGGCCTGGAAGGGGCCGGGGCTCCCTGCCCACCGCCTGCCTCCCCTCACGGCCGTTCCTGCCTGGGGTCCGGGCTGGCGGCGACGGCGACGGTGACGGTGACGGGAGAAAAGTGTTGAACGGGAACGGTGCTCAGATTGTACCCCAAGGCGAGTACAGTGCGCCCCCTCTTCCCCCAGCCCCCGTCTGTCCTCTGCTCTGCCCCCCACCCCCAGCCAATAGCTCCCCAACTTTCAAGATAATGACCTTGTTTTCTAAAACCAACCTGACTGAGGTGTCATTTACAGGCCACTAAATTGACTCTTTGTAAGTGGACAATTTAATGGGTTTTGGTAAATTTGCAGATTTAATGAGTTTTGGTAAATTTGCAGATTTAGCGAGTTTTGGTAAATTTGCCACGTGCTGCAGACATCACGCTTCAGGCTCAGGCTGTCTCCCTCGCCCCGGAAGGCTCTGCTCGCCCATGTCAGTGTGTGGCAGTGGCCGTGGCCGTGGCCATGGCCGTGGCCGAGGCGGCCAGCCGGTGAGGGAGGAGAGGAGATGGGTGTTGAGTGTGGAGCGCAGAGTTCCAATTAGTGCCGTGCACCTGGAATGTATTAACCAACGTTACCGCAATTTAAAAACAAAACAAAAAAAAGGTTAGCAAGTTCCTGGGATTCTGGCTCATTTTTTAAAAAAAAGAAGGAGGAGGAGGAGGAGGAGGAAAAAGAACAGCCCTTCCCCCTCCATAACCTTCACCGAAATCCTAGAGCCAGCGCGCCGGCAGGCCCCGGGGCCGCCCGGCCTTCCGGAACCTGCGATGGAGCGGAGCTCACGCCTGGACGGAGCGGAAGCCGGGTCCCCGCAGACGGGAGGACGGGCTGCTCCAGCGGCGGCTCATACACCAAGAAGGTGGCGGGTTCGAACCCGTCAGGGCACGCAGCGTGGTTGTGGGTTCAATCCCCGGTCGGGGCACACCGTGGGCAGCCATCCACGGTCCTCACGTCGATGTTTCTCACGAGAAGCAGCTAAAACTGTTCCTTTCCCGTCTGAGCGGCTGGGCCGCACCCTCCCGCCTCCCGTCCCGATTCCAACGGGACCGGAGCCCCCTCGCCCCCTCGCGGCTCCGCGGCTGCCTCCTCCCAGGGCGCCGCCTCGGGCGCAGGCCAGCACCTGTCCCGGCGCCCGGCTCCCGTGGCCCGGCAGCACCTCCCGGACGCCCGTTCCTGCGCGCCTCGGGCCCCGGCCCAGCTGGACAGGCCTCTTTCCCGGAACTGACTCACGGCTCCTGCAGGTCCCGGCTGGCAACGCTGAGGCCCGTCCTTCCCGTGGGAAGGAAATGAGTCACCGGGACACACCGCTGTTCCCCAAGGCCCCTCCGATCCTCCGGGTCCCTGCCGGGACCGCAGCACAGCCTCCGGAGACAGAGACATGGGTCTGGCTGCCTCTGCCCGGCCTCCTCCTCCCGGCCTCCTCCTCCCCGGCCTCCTCCCCGACCTCCTCCTCCCCATCCTCCTCCTCCCAGGCCTCCTCCTCCCGGCCTCCTCCCTATCCTCCTCCTCCCCATCCTCCTCCTCCCAGGCCTCCTCCTCCCGGCCTCCTCCTCCCCAGCCTCCTCCTCCCCATCCTCCTCCTCCCCGGCCTCCTCCTCCCCATCCTCCTCCTCCCCATCCTCCTCCTCCCCATCCTCCTCCTCCCCATCCTCCTCCTCCCAGGCCTCCTCCTCCCCGGCCTTCTCCTCCTAGGCCTCCTCCTCCCCGGCCTTCTCCTCCCAGCCTCCTCCTCCCCGGCCTCCTCCCCGGCCTCCTCATATATATATATATATATTTTTTTTTTACAGAGAGGAAGGGAGAGGGCTAGAGAGTTAGAAGCATCGATGAGAGTTTTCTTGCCCAACCAGGCCCGTGTGACTCAGTGGCTGAGCGTCGACCTGTGAACCAGGAGGTTGCGGTTCGATTCCTGGTCGGGGCACAAGCAGTGTGGGGAGTGATTCTCCCTCCCTCTCCCTTCCTCTCTGAATCCAATACGAACATACTTTTTTAAAAGAACTTTTCCTGAGGAAAATAATTCTGTTGATGGAGAAACTACGGAGGAGGACAACCCTGTGTGTTCAGCCAGAGTTTTCCAGCGAGAACAACAGAAAGAAGAAAAGAAAGACCGCCCCATGCCCCGCCCCCTAAACGACACCACACCGGTGGGTCTCAGCGGGTGGTGGCGGCACCGCCCACACTCATCCTTTCCGGATGGTTCCGGTGGCGAGCAGGCCGGCCGGGCCGGTGGGTGGCGGGGTCCTGCCTTCTGATGGAGCCGTTAGTCAGGCGGGTGCGAACCTCCGTCCGAGGACCACACCCCGAGAGGCTGCGCTTTATTATATGGGAATTGTCCCACAATGAATGGATTTTGAGAAACTCACACGATAAGCCCAACGATCTTGCGGCCTCGGTTAAAATAAAAAGCAGCCTTGACAAGGAGCGTTTATGGCCCCGGAACCTTGAGAATTCAAAGCGCTGGTTACTTATTACTCCCCGGAGATAAGGGAGGGTCTCTCACACGCCCTCTGCCCTCAGGCCCGGCTGCTAGGCCGCTCCGTCCGGGTGGAGCCCGGGGCGGGCGGGGCGGGCCGGACAGGCCCAGGGCCACCGGACTGCACTGTGTGCCGCGCCGAGCAGGGCACTCTGCCGCCCGGGAGGGCCTGCTTTCCTCCAGCTGCCTGCTTTCCACAGCTCAGCACAGCAAATACTGAGCACAGCTCCAGTGTTATTAGGGTCAGGGCTAGGGCTATGGCTAGGGCTAGGGTTAGGGCTAGGGCTAGGGTTAGGGTTAGGGCTAGGGCTAGGGTTAGGGTTAGGGCTAGGGTTAGGGCTAGGGTTAGGGTTAGAGTTAGGGTTAGGGTTAGGGTTAGGGCTAGGGTTAGGGCTAGGGCTAGGGTTAGGGCTAGGGTTAGGGCTAGGGTTAGGGCTAGGGTTAGGGTTAGGGTTAGGGCTAGGGTTAGGGCTAGGGCTAGGGTTAGAGTTAGGGTTAGGGTTAGGGTTAGGGCTAGGGTTAGGGTTAGGGCTAGGGCTAGGGTTAGAGTTAGGGTTAGGGTTAGGGCTAGGGTTAGGGTTAGGGCTAGGGCTAGGGTTAGGGTTGAAGTTATGGAAAGGGTTAGTGTTAGGGCTAGGTTTAGAGTTAGGGGTAGGTTTTCGGTTAAATATAGGATTAGGGGTAGGTTTATGGTTAAGCATAGGGTTAGGGTCAGGTGTAGGGTGAGGGTTAAGGAAAGGGTTAGTGTTAGTGTGTGTCCTTGCACATAAACAGCACTGTTTCCGTTCTTAGAAAGTTCACAGAAACCTCCGGGGCTGGGGTGCGGTGGCGTTCCCAGCGGGAAGAACAGGGCCCAGCCCCCAGCCTGGCGAGCCGGTGTTTTATTCCAACATGGCAGGCACGGCCACACTGCCCTGTCTCCTTCTGTGCGCCCACGTTCAACCGGCAGAGTCTTCACCAAATAAGTGAAGTGTCATAAACAGAAGCCTCATTTAAAAATATATATATATTTTATTGACTTTTTACAGAGAGGAAGGGAGAGGGATAGTTAGAAACATCAGCTGCCCCTCCCAACGCCCCTTTCCTTTCTTTTTTAATTTTTATTAAAAAATATATATTTCTTTATTGATTTCAGAGAAGAGGGATAAGGAGATAGAGACATCAATGATGAGAGAGAACCATAGATCAGCTGCCTCCTGCAGGCCCCACACTGGGGATCGAGCCCTTGCCGGAATCGAACCCAGGACCCTTCAGTCCGCAGGCTGACGCTCCATCCACTGAGCCTGGGACGCGGGCCCCGGGCGCAGTTCCTGCCGCGGCCACGGGGCGGCAGCACAGCCCAAGGCGCGCGGTCCCCGGCCAACGGGGGGCTCCCGGGGCGTCACTCAAAGCCCCGCCACAGCGGACGCGCCGCCCCCACTCCCCGCGGGCGGGCGCCCCGGGCCCAAGCAGCAGCGTGGGTCCCCCATTTCCCCTGCCTCCGCCCTGCTCCTCGGACGCCCGTGGGGGGCGGCAGAGGGACCCCCAGTCTCCACCCCTGACCGGACCGCCAGGCCGGGGGTCCTCAGGTGTCGCCTCTGGGGGCTCCGCACGCCCAGCCCCCAGTCCTGGGGGTGCGCAGGGCTATCCGACCCTACCCACGAGGGCGCGCTCGCACCCACGCACAGCCGCGTCCGGTGGGTGCGGGGTGGGGGTGGGTGCGGGGGGTGGGGGTGGTGGGTGAGGTTGGGGGGTGGGTGCGGTGGGTGGTGGGTGCCGGGGTGGGGGGTGGGTGCGAGGGGTGGGGAGTGGAGGAAAGGCGGTTGAGCGGGGGTCCAGGCCGTGACCCCAGGACACGTGACAGCTGGTCCCTGCCGCTCACACGCACCCGTCTCTGTGCCCCCCCCAGTGCGCTTTGGGGTGCGCAGGCAGCCCCTGCGGGCATACGGAGATGGGGCCCGGTGAACGGACCGCGGCCAGGCCCCTCCCGCCGCCTCAGCAGCGTGGCAGCTGCTCCCCAGCAGGGAGAGGGCAGAGGCCGTGCAGCGAATGGGGAAGACAGACCGACAGACAGACGGACAGAGCGGACAGTCCGACCTGGAGCGGGAGGATGCGCCCCCGGGGGCGGGGGGTCAGGCGGCCTGGGACCCAGGTCCCCCTCCTGGGGCCGTTCCCCCCTTGCCCCCCGCAGCCCGCACCCGCACCCCGGGCTCAGGCTGTGCCCCGCGCCCAGCACCCTCTCCTCCGTCCTCACACCCAGGCCTCCGGGCTCCGGGTCCGCGGTGAGCGCCCCATCTGGGCTGGGCTGCACGGCCTCCGGGGACGGACCAGAGGGCACCCCCTGTCCCTCTGTCCCCTCAGGTCTCCTGGCTCCTGGCCCCAGCCAGGCTCCCCCCCCCCTCGGGGCACTCCCTCCTGCAGCCTTGGGCCCTGGCCCGGGCCGCCCCGTGGACAGCACTTCCTGCCCGCCCGCCCGGTCAGGCGGAGGCAGCCGGACGGCCGCACTCTGGGCCCTGCTGTGTGGGCCTGTCCACGCCATCTGGTCTGCCTCCTCCAGGGCAGCCCCTCCAGGGGTCCCGCCCAGCCCTGCCCGCCAGACCCGCCTCCTGGGGCTCCTGGTGGCCGGGCTGGACCCTCAGACCCCCGCCCCTGCAGACCCCAGGCCTCTGTGCTCTCACCCTGAGCAGCCTCCCCCCTCCCGAAGGCCTGGGAGGGGAGGGAGCTGGGGGCGGGGGAGAGGAGAGAGGGGAGGGGCGGCGCCGTGCAGGAAGCGGTCCTGTGCTGCCCAGGAAGGCGGGGCGGGGCCTGCACTGCGCCCTGACCACATGGGGGTGAACCTGGTTTGGGGGGCGCCCCCCTGGGCTCTGCCGGCCTGCCCTCAGCGCCCCTGGCACCCCTTGCGCTGGGGGGCCAGGCTGGAGGGGGTCTGTGCAGAGGGGCCCTAGGCAGAGGCAGCAGGAGCCCACCAGGCCCCCTCGTGGGGCGGAGCCTTGCTCAGTCCGTGCTGTAGGCAGAGGCCTCCGGGAGCCCAGTCTCCAGCAGCAGCCACGGGCCTGGAGAGCCCCCCAGCTCCCAGCCCACCCCCCAGCCTTCCCACCAGGGAGACCCCGAAGGAGGGCAGTCAGGGCCGTGCCCCCCTCCCTTTGGTCTCAGACTGCGCCCGGACCCGTGGCCACCGCTGTGGGTGGGCAGTGGAGGCCCGGCCCCGTGCCCATGGGCTGCCCACTGTGCCCAGGCCCGACTTCAGTCTCCAGGGAAAGAATTTCCGGTTCTTGTGGCCAAGCTCCCTGCCCCTTGGCCGGCCCCCCCCCGCCCCCCCCCCCCCCGCCGGCTCATTTGCATCCAATGGTCACTCACCTCTCAGGTGACAGGAAGTGCCTGGGAAGCAGGGAGGGGTCAGAGGAGGTGGAGACGCTCGGAGGGGCCGGGGCCGCGGCAGGCTGAGGGCGCCCTCCCTCCTCCTGCTCCCCTGGCGCCGTCCAGCCCTCCCCCAGGCCCGGGCGGGCCCAGAGGCCCAGCTCCGGTCAGCAGGTCCTGAGACGCCTCCACTCGGCCCAGCTCGGGGCTGTGCTCCCCGGGGAAGGTGGCTCCAGGGCCCGGCTCCCGGCTCCCGGCCGCAGCCCCGGAGCCAGAGAGAAGCAACCATGATGTTCCCCCAAATTTAAAAGATGCCCCTTGGTGAGCAGCATGAACCCACAGCAGCCAGAGGGGGTGCCCCTCGGACCTCACCTCTCAGACTGGGGGTCAGGGGTCAGGGAAGAGCTCGGAGCAGAAGGTCCGAGGCCTCCGCTGCTTGGCAGGGAGCAGAGGCGGCGGCCGCGCGGGGTGCCCGCCCCCCGGCCCTGGCCCCTCGAGTCCTGCCTGCCCGCCTGGGGGCCGAGCCCAAGGAAAACCAACAAGCTTGTCTTTTCATATAAAAAGATCAATGAAAAATTTATTGATAAATTTCCCATGCTGGGCTACAGGGGCATCGTACTCAGGGACGGGCTGCAGACTTCATCCAGTTAGAGGTGATCAGACCGGGCCCACACACAGCTTCCATAAGCCTAGAAGGTCTTAGCATTAATTAACATAATTAAAACGTTATTTGCATCTAGAAAAAAACATACAGAACAACTCCTTGTGGAGTAACCTGTGCCCCCGGCCGCCGCCTGCGGGTCCCACCGCGTCTTCTGCTCACGGGGGTTCCACCGGCCACGGAGGACTGGGGGGCCGCGGCGCGGGGCCCCCACCCACCTGTGTCCTCAAGCGCCCCCCATTTCTGCAGGCAGGGGCAGCAGCCTTCCCCCGGGAAGCCTCATTTCAATTTGAATTATCCCGGCCCCTTTCATTCCCGGCATCCAAACAGCCGGGGTGTGGGGTTGCATAGAAAATGGGACCGAGGGCGGCCTCCCGGCAGAGCTCCGCCCCCGCCCCCAGCCCGGCCCCTCCCCCCGCGGGTTCGGGACCTGAAACCGCGGGGCGCGGAAGGCAGTCGGCACAGAATTCACAGTCTTACAGCATTTTATAAAAATATAAATATGGGTACACTGTTGCCTACACAACGCCCTTTAAATGGGGTCATAACCGACTCAGAAAGTACACCTAGCGCTTGGCTTACAACACGCTAACAGTTTACATTGTCATAAATGTTATGACATAATCGTGGCAAATCCTTTTACTTTTTAAAAAGTGTGCAACCGACTGCGACCTCTCACGACCACCCTCCGGCACCGCCCCCCGGCGCCCAGGGTCCCCCCGCCCCGCGGGGACCCCAGGAAGCCAGCAGGTCTGGGGGCCGGTCACAGGGGGGAGGCGGCCCGGGGCTCCCGAAACTCACACGGAACCGAGTGTGAGAAACGGGAGGGGGAGAGGGTTGAAGGAGGGAGATGGGGCAGGTGGGGGGACAGAGGAGGTATGGGGGGAGGGGACAGACGGGGTAGAAGGGGTATGGGGGGAGGGGACAGATGGGGGCAGGTGGGGGGAAAGGGGTTGGAGGGGAAGGGGTTGGAGGAGGGAGATGGGGCAGGGGGGGCAGAGGGGGGTATTGGGGGGAGGGGACAGAGGGAGGTTGGCGGCAGGAGGGGACAGACGGGGGGCATGCGGGGGGAGGGGGCAGAGGGGGTATGGGAGGGGCGGGCCGGGCAGGCGGGGGGCGGAGGGGCGGGGAGAGCCGGGCGCAGAGGCAGCAGCAGTGAAGCCCTCGGGCTGGCGGCGTTCAGTGCAACCAAGAAACGACAGATCAAGTTTTTCTTGTAAGAAAAGGAAAAACGCATCTCCCACGACCACGCAGAGTCCCAAACAAAGGCAGCGCACTGTCCCCGGTGCGCACGCACGGTGCGGAGTCGGACCGGTCTCCCGGGCGGCGCCGCGGTCCTGCGGGCGGGGCCCGGCCGGCGGCCCCGCCTCCGGCTCCGGCTCCGGGAAGCACGTCCAGCGGCGGATCCGGTGTCGCGGGATTCCGGCCTCGCCGGGAGCCGCGCTCGGATTTCAAAGGCGCAGCCGCGCCCCGCCCCCACCGCGGCCGCGGGCGGGGCGTGGGAAGCGCCGCCGGCCCGGCGGCCACCGGCGGGGCGCGGGGCCCGGCCGTGGGCGCGGCGCGGGAGGTAGTTGGCGGGAAGGGCCGCAGCGGCGCCGCGCGTGGGCCGCGCGGGGTCCGCTCGGCGCGGGTCACCGGCCGCCGGCCGCGCACTTGGCCGTGGTGATGAGATAGAGCGCGATGTCCTGGTGGCCGCCGAACGCCGCGATGTGCAGCGCGCTCCAGCCGTCGCGGTTGGCCAGGCGGATGTCGGCGCCGAACTTAACCAGCAGCTTCACCAGCTCCAGGTTGCCGTCGATGACCGACTGGTGCAGCGCCGTCTGGCCCTCGGGCCCGAACGAGTTGACGTTGAACTCGCAGCTCGTCATGTTCTGAAGCAGCGACTGCAGCTCCTGCGTGTTGCCGCGGCGCACGGCCTCCTGGAAGACGCGCTGCGGGGGCGCCGCGCAGGTGGAGCGCTCGGCCTGGCTCATGCTGCCGCGGGCGCGCGGCGGGGCGCGCCGGGCTGGGCGCGGGCCCCCGGCTGCCGCGGGGCCGGCCGGGGCGCATGGGGGGCGCGGCGCCCCCGGGCCCCGCACGCCGCCCCGGGGCGCTCTGGGGCCGCCGCCGCAGGGCCCCGCCGCATCCAGCCGCGCCCGGGCTTCGGGCGGCGGGGGCCGGCGCTGGCTCTCGGGGCCGGCGGGCCGGGCGGCGGCGCGCGCTCCGGGTCCCTGGTCCGAGGCTCCGGCTGCAGTCCCGCGCGGACCCACGCGCCTCCCCACGCGCCGCCGCTCTCGCGGGCCGCCCGCCGCGCCGGGCGCTTTTACCCGGTTCCATTTGCATAACAATGGCCCGTGACGCGCCGCCGGCCCCGCCGATTGGGCGGCGCGGCGCGGGGCGGGCCCGGGGCGCGTCCGGGAGGCGCGCTCCGCCGCAGGGGGCGCTGGTCGCCGGCCGCGCAGACCCGGAGCCGAGGCCGCGGGAGGCCTGTCTCGCCGCCGCCCCGCCCCGGGCTCCCGCCTCCGCCGCCGCCCGCCCCCTCTCCCCGGCCGCGCGGGGAATTCCGAGCTCCGGGAGCGCACGGAACCGGCCCGAGCGGAGCGGACCCCGGTGGACCCGCGGGCGCCCTGTCCTGGGTGGGGGCTCGCGAGCGTCCCAGGCCCCGGAGGTCCGGGCGGAGACCCCTCCGCTCCCGCGGGTCCCCAGCGCGCGCCGCTCAGCCCCGCCCGCCCGGCCGCGGGGTCAGCTCGGGTGACCACCCGGCGCACCTCTCGGGCGTGTGGTCCGGGCCACGTGGGCCTTCCCACGGAGGACGGCTCCGCGGGCCGCCCCGTTTGTTCCCCAGCCGGCTGGCTCCCCGCTGCCTGACGGAGACCTGGGTTCCAGAGGAGGAAGCCCAGGGCTGGAGGCCTGCCGCCCCCTCGGGGCTCCCCATCAGCATGCCGGGGACAGGGGGGCCTGGCCGGGCCAGCGGCCCCAGCTCTGCCCCGAGAGGGAGCCCTGAAGTGGCTCATTCCAGACATGAACCGTCCCTCACGCACAGGACACGCCGCCCCATTTCTCAGGGGTTTCCAGCTTGGGGCCGGCTGTGGCCGCCGCCAGAGAGGGAGGGAGGTGGTTCCGGCAGCCGGAGGCCGGACCTGCATTCCTGCAGGAGCAGGGGGACTCCCCGGGAGACCACCCTGAGAGGCCAGTCTGAGGGGGGCTCTCCCCGGCCTCACTGGGTGCTCTGGGAGGGGTCACAGCCGAAGCACAGGGAGAGCGAGGCTGGGCCGCGGCCGGCCGGCTGCCTGGGGCCTCCCTGCAGCAGGGCCCCCGAGCCCCTCGCTCCGGATCTCCTGAGGCCGGGGGTCCAGTCCGCCTGCTCAGACCTGCTCCCTCGGCGGGTGGGCGAGCCCAGCCCCGAGCTGGCCTGGCCGCTGTGTGACCTGGGGGTGCCGCTGCCATCCGGAGCCCATTCCTGTCCCTCATCCGGGAGGGTGTGTCCCTGGCTCGGCAGAAAGCCCAGGGCCCGGCTGCGGTGGAGTCAGGGACCCCGGTAAGCACGGCGGGCGCCTGCTGCCGGGAACAGGTGGGTGGGGAGGCAGCTGAGCTCCGAGAACGTGTAGGGATGGGCCGAGGCCTCTGCTGTCCTGCCTGTGTTTTCCGTGCACCAGCCAGGCCCAGCCCTCCCGGCCCCTCCAGAGGTGCGGGTCGCCAGACGGGCCTGAGCCTCCGCGTCTGGAGACGGCCGGCCGGGAGCGGGGAGGGAGGTCCCGCTGACCCCTCGGCGGCGGGAGGGCAGACAAAGGGGCCCTGTGCGCTCAGTGTGAGAACTCGCGGCCGCTGCCACGGCCATGAAATTGGCAGCAAGGCCGCCCCGGCGGGGACTGTGCGACTGGAGCTGCCCGGGGCCGGCCCAAGGTGGCTGGCCACCCCGCCCGGCATTCCTCCGGGTGCAAGTCCGGGGGGGTGTCTGGGCCTGCCGTGGCCGTGTGCCCACCCCCACCTCACCCCCGGCCCGCTGCTCCTCGGGGCTCAGGTGCCTCTCGGGGGCCTGCGTCTCGCTGTCCACACCCCCCGGCCCGGAGCAGACCTTGTGCGGCCAGGCTCCCCACACGTCCCCACTGTTTGCTGAAGGACGGTCCAAAAGGGGGACATTTGTTCCAAACGCCTTGGTGGGAGGGGGCGGGGCTCCGGGGCTGTGAGAAGCGTGTGTGCGCGTGTGCACGTGCGTACACAGAGTGTGTGTGAGTGTGTGTGTGTGTGTGAGTGGCGGTTTGCTGGCTCTGAGAAGCCGAGGGGACCCATCTCTCTGGAGGCTCAGGGCGGGGGTGGGGCAGGCGGAGGACATGTTGGGCCCAGGCTGGGAAGGTCTCCGGGCGGAGGGCAGCGCTGGCGGGCGGCGGCCAGAGCCGGCCGAGGCCTGTGGCCACCTTACAGCCCGGGCGGGGGGAGGGCGGCCGCCGTGGGCAGGCGGGCAGTGGGGGCGGGGCTTCCAGCTGATTCATTAAAATGTGTCGGGAGCGTGGGAAAGAGGAGCGGCTTTCTTCCCAGCAGCCCGGGCACCTGGTAGAGGGGCCGAGCGAGGATACGGATCAAATAACAAACACTCGGCGGCCAGCGTGGCCGGGCCAGGAAGGCCGCCCGCCCGCCCGCCCGCCCGGGGCAGGAACTGCCCCAGACAATCGCGCTCCTGCCCGCCCGGGGCCAGGCAGGCCGCCCGCCCTGGGCGCAGCGCGGCCGGCCGGTGTCTGACCCCAGCTGGGCTGGGGAAGGGCCGGAGGGAGTCCTGGGCTGAGGCTGGAGCCAGGGTGGGCTGGCGTGAGCGTGAGCCCAGGGTCCCGGAGGAGTGCAGCCAGGCTGGGGAGCAGAGGAGGGGGGGAGGGGAGGAAGGCAGGCTGGACCCGGCAGGCATCCCTCTCGGCTGCCCCCTCCCTAGAGCTGTGCGGTGTGCAGGGCGGAGGGAGGCGGGTCAGACCTGGGGGACAGGAAGGACACAGCCTTCGCCCTCGGGGTCCAGCTCCAGTTCCTGTCCGTCCAGGGCCTCGGTCAGAGGGGGCCCCCAGGAAGCAGGGGCGCTGGGCACCCCTCCAGCTGACCCCAGAGTTGCCGGGGGGCTAAGTGGGCTGGTCCTGGCACAAAGCAGGCGCTCAGACAGGAAAGGCCTCGGGGCTGGCAGGTCGCAGTGGACCCCATGCAGCCCCCACCTGCCTGGTGCCCACTGGAGCTGCCCCCTGGGGCTCATGGTCCATGGCCAGCTCTGGGGCAAGGGCTGGCCTGGCACTGCCAGTGCCGCCCTGCGCTGAGTGTGGCACCTGGGCCTGCAGGTGGGCTGCCCGGGGGGAGGCGGGGCTGGTACGGCCCAGGCCGCCCATCTGGAGGCTTCCGCCCGGGCTCCCGGGTCACCTCCACGCCGTTTCCGCTCTGGACAGGAAGACAGGAAAGGGATGTGACGGGGGGTGGGCGAGGGTGGGAGAGGTGGGGGGCGAATTCCTGCGGAGAGTGGAGGGGGTGGGCAGGGTGGGCGGGAGCACAACGCAGCCGGGACCAGGCCTGCCACTGGCAGGGGCCTCCACGGCGGCTGCGTCCCCTGGACTCCTCCTGGCGCCACGCCTGGCACTGGTGCCCTCAGGCCTCTGTCACCTCAGCCGGGGCCTCAGTTTCCCCGAGCGGGCCTAGCAGGTGTGAGGCGCGGCCTGAGCACCCAGAGGAGGCCCCAGCCCTGACCAGGGTGAGGGAGGGAGCCCCTCCTCTAGGCTGGCTGCCCTGCTGCCTCGGGCACCAGGCGCGCTGGGCCCACTCCCTGGGAAGTGGCCGGCCCGGCCTGAGGGTTCCTGACCCCAGGACCCCGCCATCCATGCTCCGTGGAGTGGGCCCCGCCCTGCTGGCCAGGGGGCTGGCTCCTGGCAGAGGGTGAGGAGGAGAGGGTGGCTCGGTGGGTGGGCCGCAGCGTCGGGCCCGTCTGCCCCTGCCCAGCTCCAGCCTCACGGGCTCCAGCGGACGTGGGAACTGCCACGTCCAGCCCTTGGCCGCTGCCCAGGCCATTTCCTCCCAGGCCAGCCCTGCCCGCCCTGCCGCCTCTCCGAGCGCAGGCGGCCACGCTCGGCCGGCGCCCCGACCGCCGGCGTCCGGTGTGAGCAGTGATGCAGGCCGGCCCGCAGGTGCGGCTCTTCCCGTTTATTGTCGGTCAGGCCTGGGCCCGGCGCCCTCGGGGGGGCTGCGGGCCGGGCCGGGCGCCGGGGGGCCGGGGGGCCGGGCCAGGACGTCCTGGAACTGCGAGGCCATGCGGCCCAGGTGGGAGCCCTCCCAGAAGACCTTGCCGCAGCCGGAGCAGCAGAAGAAGTGGCGCAGGCCGGGCCGCCGAAGCACGCCCGCCGGCACCCCCGCCAGCTGCAGCCGCGTGCCGTTGCCCAGCGTGGCCGGGGCGCTGGCCCGCAGCTCGGCCGCCTCCAGCCAGCGGCAGGGAGGGTCGTAGGTGAGGCCCGGCGTCTCCCCGGGGGCGGAGCCTGGTGGGTGGAGGCGACCACCTGAGGCCCAGCTTCAGCCTGCGCCCACCCCTCTCCCTCCCCAGGGACCCGCCCTTCCCCATTCACCCCCCCCCCCCAGGGCTCCCCTACGAGTCCCGCCACGGACCCCGCCCCGCCCCGCCCCGCCCAGGGCACAGGGAGGCCCCTACGGAGGCCCCTCAGAGCCGGCAGGTGCAGGGCGGGGTCCTCTGTGGGCAGGCCCAGTGCTCACCTGGCTCCCGTGTGTCCTGGCTCTGGGCCTGGTCACCTGTCAATCACGGAATTCAGGAACCCCTGAGAACGGGGCCAGCAGCCAGCCTCACCCTCACCCTCTCCCCGGGGCGAGGGCAGAGGGCAGGGGGCGAGAAGCCGCAGTGCCAGCCCCGGCCCCGCCCCCGGGAGCTCACACCTTGGCCCGTTCTTGGGGCTCAAAGGTCTCCGGCTCCAGGGGCCGAGAACGGGCGGGCGGGCGGGGGCGGCCGCTGTGATGAGCGGATAAGCCCGTCGCCAGGAGCCATTGCACAATCAGCACCGGGCACACGGGCGGGAC